GGAATTTCAAACCGAACCCTTTATTTCGTCCCCAGGAATAGATCATTCTAGTACCCAAGAACACACAGCCCAGTGGATAAAAGCGTCGGATGAAATAATCCAGTGACTTGACCAAAAGAGTTGTGAGTTCAATTCCTGGCTATAAAAACCCGGAGAGTTGAGTTACTAAAGGGAAATAACTGAAACTGAGATATCCAAAAAAAAAAAGGCATGGCATGTGGAACTAGAACAATCCACACCAATGGACAAAATAAAGAGTTCGGTTCGAAATTCCAACGTATGTCACCTGAAGAATGCCGAGGCGTATGATGGCCAAAACGTCGTGAATATGACAATGATGATGAGGACAATCCGAACGATGTAAATAGTGTAGTCACAACACCTCATCTCAGAAATATAGACAAATGATAAAAAAAGAGTGTCGAACTGCTACACAATACCAATCCTCTTATATAGCAGTGAATGTTGGACAATTTATTCACAGATAAAAAAGAGATTTGAGACAACAGACATGTTGTTCTACAGAAGGATAGTGAGAATATCATGGACGTAGCACCTAAACACCGAAGAAGTTTTAAGAAAAATGTAAACAAAACGGTGAGTTATACTTAAATCTCGGCGCTCGGTATGAGTGTTCGTTATTTTTACTTACGGGCAAATACCCTTGGGAAAGGTATGAGTTCATCTCTTCTCCACATAGCTATATACTAAATAGCAGGACAGACTGGGTCCTATAGACAACCAGTCTACCAGAGAGGGAAACGGCAACCTACTGCGGGAATATCTCCTGCCTAGTCAGTCATGAATCAAAAGAGACAGAATCACCTAAGTGTATGGCACTTAACTGACTGACTGATACTTACAATCTGAAAGAGTACTGTTGAAACCTCTAGGATGCTTAGTAAGGAAAAAAGCTTTGGAAAAATTGACACTCACAAGACATACTAAAAACAAGACGAAGAGAGGGAAACAGCGATTACGATACCTAAAGATCTTCTGTAAATAGTCGTCAGAAAAGAATCCTACAGAGACAGTTTTTAAAAAAAAAAAAAGAGAGAGAAATATTGATTATAGCAAGAATTGATAGGAATTTGTGGAGAGCCATGATCGCTGACATGCTGAAAAGAACAGTACATAGACGATTCTCTAAAATGTGTGTAAATTCAGTTTTTTTTTTTTTTTGTGACAGAGATACCTTGGTTATACGCTGGTCCATAGAAGCAGGAATAAAAACAACGAAAAGAAAAAAGGTTTTCAGAAAGAAGTCTCAAGTAAAAATGATATTCCGAGCCACTTGTTTTGCAGGTGTCACGAATTCAATATATATATATATATATATATATATATATATATATATATATATATATATATATATATATATATATATATACCAGTACGGAATTTAAAAAAAAAAAAACAACTTTGCCAAAATAGATAATGTACAAAACAGACTGAGAAAAAAAAATGGAACTGAAGACCAAATAAATAAATAAATAAAATCGTTCAGTTGAATTGAAAGTTACCTCCCTTATGTATAAGGTTATAAACATTTAAAATCTTCATTTGCATAGAATTGCCGTCAGTCAGAAAATAAATTACCAGCGTACTCTTAGAACATCTGGCAGGAGACTTTGTCACCGTCTGAGACTCTTGTGCAACATGGCACTGAAGAGGTTTTATAAAACTGGCTGCCTGAAAATGCGACTCTTCTCAAAGATTAAAATACCCCCCCCCTTTTTTTTTAAATTTTATCATTCACATCAAAACTTTTACTGAAATAGATATGTGAAAATGCATACAGGAATAACTTCTTATACGTTACGCAAAGGAAAAACACGCACGCACACAGAGAGAGAGAGAAAGAGAGAGAGAGGCACATGTGTGTGTGTGTGTGTGTGTAAAGAGATAGCGAGTGAGAGAGAGAGAAAACGATATATAAATCTATATATTTCAAGAACAATTTTAGGGGAAATCTATATCAAAAAGAAAAAAGTAATAATTGTCACAAGGAAATCTCAAGGAATTTAAATAAAAGATTATAGGAACATAAAGGTGATCTTGTATAAAGCAGAAAATTAAATACATTGGTTGCTCACCGTCATGAGTCAAGCTAAAATTTAAACAATGCTAATTTAATTAAAAGAGAAAAAATAATTATTAAGACGAAAATATATAGGAAGTGCTTTAATCACGTGATCGTTCACAGTAAGTTTCCGCCTACATCCTTGCAATGTTTCACATTTCTTGGCAGATCTTTTATTATTAGATGCTGGATAATTAATGTTATAAAAAAATTAAACAAAAAAGAAAAAAAAATGAAATCTCCTTGACTCTATACCCAGAATTTATATTTTTAAACAAAAAATTATAAGTAAAATACCTAGTGCCCCCGTCTTCGAGGACAGGTGTAGTCACTTCAATGTAAACATCACTTTAGTCCCATAAAGTCCAAAAAGACAAAACGCGTCACACAAAAACGTTTTTTACACTTTGTCATAGTTTTTTCGCTAACACACACATACACAAACATATATATATATATATATATATATATATGTATATATAAGTTAGGGAAAAGCATAATGTTTGTAATTTATTCAATATATATATATATATATATATATATATATATATATATATATGATAAATTACAGACATTATGTCTATTTTATCATAATCCTTTCATGTTCACGAATATTTCCCGTATAATACAATGAGATTTAGATTTCTAAAAAATTTTGAGCTGAAGAGATGAATATTTATATATATTCGTAAAATAAATTTTAACCGAAATGGATTTTTGCAGGATTTTCTTAATTATATATATATATATATATATATATATATATATATATATATATATATATACGTATTACTATATATATATATATATATATATATATATATATATATATGCATTGTATATATATATATATATATATATATATATATATATATATATATATATATATATATATATATATATATATATATATGCATGTGCACCCTTACATAGATTAGCGCAACACATACACATACCCACACATCCATACTTGCATACCCACAACCATATATATATATATATATATATATATATATATATATATATATATATATATATAATAATTAAACACATATATGTTGTAAAAGTAAATAAATGGCTTATGGGGTATTACTGCTGCACAAAAATAAAATTGCACAGAAGTGTCTTAAATGCGATGCTGGTGAGTAACATCTAAAAAATATCTAGCCTTTTTCTATCTACCTTTTATAACTACATATATATATATATATATACACACACACACACACACACACACACACACACATATATATATATATATATATATATATATATATATATATAGTTTGAGAGTGCGTTGCTTTTGTGATATTGTGAGTCGCATTGGGATGCCTTTTTTCTTTCTTTTTTTTTTGCTTACATATAGATGTATGCACACATACAGGCATACACATACACTATATGAACACTTTAGATATATTCTGCATATCAATAAACTAAAGACACACTGGTGATTCACCGTAATTCATTTAACCACATTTTTTTCTGAACAGAAGAGAACAGAATTCGTTGAGAAGAAAATGTATTGAGAGTGCACTGATCTCGCAATTCTCAACAGTGAATATAAGGACAGGGTCATACGTTATTTTGCCGATCGTCACAAAAACAATGATAGCACATTACGGTTTACAAGTTGGGGTAGAGGACAGATACCTATTTGGAGTCGGCTGATTTAAAAAAAAAACTACAGACTGCAACGACTCTAATATTTATGCATGTCTATATTTCTGAGATGAGGTATTATGTACACTCTTTACATTATTCCGACTATTGTCCTCATCTTTGTCGTCATACTTATCACAACGTTTCGGCCGTTATACGCTCCGGCCTTCTTCAGGTGGTTGGAATGTCGAACTGAACCTTTCATTTCGATCGCTGGGGCAGACTGTTCTAGTTCCACGTGCCATGTCTAATGGATGTCAGTTATCAGTTATCTCCTGTTAATTCCCCTCTGAAAGTTATCCACTGCCTTAACCAGGTACTGAACTCCCATTGTCAGTGTATCTAACCAACGCCGTTATCCACTATGCCATTTGTCCTTAAGGATAGTGATAATTGTGATACATATGGTAACAAAGATTAGGACAATAGTCCGAGTAATGTAAATAATATATATATATATATATATATATATATATATATATATATATATATATATATATATATATATATTTTTTATATATAAAAAATAATCATACTTGAATCAATCAGCAATATTAATGCAATTAATGGCGAAATCACTTCGCTAGTAGAAACATAATGTGTGCATTAAAATACTGTTAATCCATTGAATGATGTGATCCTCATTTATAAAACTGTTGTCAGATGTTTCTAGTGTATATTTTTTTTAAGTTAAGCAAGTAATAATATTGCTGATTGATTCTATGTATGATTATTTCTTTATATATATATATATATATATATATATATATATATATATATATATATCACGAAAAATACCAAAGTTTAAGTATTTTTCTTGATCAATTTTCTGCACCCACCAAGAAACTATCAAACTTCGATACGCCTGGTACAATGGTTCCAAGTAACCACCAAACTATTTTTTCTTAGTTTTTTTTCTCTTTTTTGATGTTATGTCTTTCCAATCTTTTCTAATCTTTTTATCTTCTTTCTTTTCATTTTTTAAACTCCTACTTCCGAAGTTCTCATTCTTTTTCTCTTTCACTATTCTCTTGCAGTTTCTTTGTCTCTCTCCTTTTTATGCCAATTTTCTTTCTTTCTTTTTAGCTTATTTATCCTTTTTTTATTTCTCTTCTGAGATTCATCTATTTTTTATTATCTTATTTTCTCTTCACTTGTGTTTTCTTTCTTTCTTTCTTCCTTTCTTTCTTTCTTTCTTTCTTTCTTTCTTTCTTTCTTTCTTTCTTCAGTGATTCATTTCTCCATTCTTTCATCAATGTTTCCTTCTTCTTTCTTTCTTTCTTTGCTGATTCTTTTTCCATGCTTTCCTTCAATATTTCTTTCTTTCTTCGTTGATCCATTTCTTCATTCTTACATTTGTGTTATATTTCAGTTTTTCTTCCTTTGTCCGTTGATACATTTCTCCGATCTTTCATTTGTATTCAGTCTTTCTTTCTTTCTTTCTTTCTTTCTTTCTTTCTTTCTTTCTTCGTTGAGTCATTTCTCCATTCTTTCATCTATGTTTCCTTCATTTTTTCTTTCTTTCTTTGTTGATTAATTTTTCCATTTTCCATCTCTGTTTCCTTCATTTTTTTTCTTTCTTTCTTTGTTGATTAATTTTTCCATTCGGTCATCTGTGTTTCTTTCTTTCTTTCTTTCTTTCTTTCTTTCTTCGTTGAGTCATTTCTCCATTCTTTCATCTATGTTTCCTTCATTTTTTCTTTCTTTCTTTGTTGATTAATTTTTCCATTTTCCATCTCTGTTTCCTTCATTTTTTTTCTTTCTTTCTTTGTTGATTAATTTTCCATTCGGTCATCTGTGTTTCTTTTCTTTCTTTCTTTCTTTCTTCGTTGAGTCATTTCTCCATTCTTTCATCTATGTTTCCTTCATTTTTTCTTTCTTTCTTTGTTGATTAATTTTTCCATTCTGTCATCTGTCTTTCTTTCTTTCTTTCTTTCTTCGTTGATTCTTTTTCCATTGTTTTATTTGTGTTTCCTTCAGTATTTCTTTTTTCTTTCTTTTTTTTTCTTTCTTTTTTGTTGATTCCTTTCGCCGTTCGTTCTTTTATATTTCTTTCTTTATTTTATTCTCAACTTCATTTTTAATTTTTTACTCTCCCCCTCCTCGTTATTTATATTTCTTTCCCCTCTTTTCCCAGCCCTCTTTTCTTTCATACACTTCTTGTCTCGGGACCGAAGTCCCTCCAAACTCTTACTTTCATACGTTCCTCATTCCTGTTGTTCTTTATTTAAATGTTCCCAAAGAGGAAAGGCCGAGCATAAATAATTGCAAATATATGCCAGCTGACCCGAGCAGATGTGGGTGGAGGAAATCCCTTACTAACAAATCGGTAACAACAATATATGGAATACTAGAAAAGACAAAAAAAAATATAAAATAACCTTCTCACCCACCGTTATTAATTCGGGTAGGTGTTCGTCACTTTCAACAAGTAACATCAAAAACCACCTGTCGGACTCGATACCTTATCTCTCTCTCTCTCTCTCTCTCTTTCTCTCTCTCTCTCTCTCTCTCTCTATTTAAAACATTCTGTTTCGGAACTTCATCTGTTTATAACTCCCTACCATTACGGCGCTGGCACTGAATTTCTCAGCGCCGCCGACTGCAGCTTTTCAGGGCTAGGAAGACGCTGTTTGCGTGAAGATAACCATTGTTGTTGAATGAATGTTGAATTGAAGGGAGCCAGCTTACAGTTACATTAACACTTTTGTTATCTGTAACTTTAGAATAACTGGTTCTATGTGTAGAGAGGCGGGGCGGAAGTTACGGAAGAAAAGCAAAAGTGGGTAAGTGGTAGGGTAGGAATTCCGTAATGTCTGTTTTTAAACAAAGGCCAATTTATAAATCTTGTTCCAATTTAGAGCAGCGATCTGCTTACATCTAATGCCGTATTTTTTTTTTTTTTGTTAAAACATGAGCATACCTGATGAAAAATGCCCCAAACTTAATCAAAATTAAGTTTTTTATTGTCAAAATCTATATTAATAAGAAAGACAAAAGGACATTTTGGTAATTTAATTATTTTTTTTTATTCTTTATATAATTTTTAAACTACCTAGTAATCTTAAAAATTTTGGTAAATATTCTCCGTAATCAAATGTTTTGTCAAATTTTAGATACTTTGGCTTTAAGTTTATTATACTTACCGTTCTTTCTCTGAAAATGCTGTCAATGGTCGCCTGTAGTTACAAAAATCGGCACGTTCATACACACAGAAAAAAATTCAAAATTCTTTTTAAAATACTAAGTGTCGCTGAATTTTAGTAAGCTTATCCATTTATGATTAATAATTATATATTTTCTTCTTAATAACAATATCGTCTAACCTCTGCAAATTAATACAAAATTTTAAAAGATTTAAACTTTATGAATTATTCTAATTAAAATTTAAAAAGAATAAAAACAATTCTTGTAAAAGTTCATTATTCATAAGAAAAAGAATAATTTTTAGACAATAATTTCCATAATATATTTTATTCATAAAATCAATTAAAACCTTTTCTAATTAAATAATGTCTTACTTTTATTACATATCTTTTATTTTATGATTCAGAGAAGATATTCGCTTCAGTTACACAAAAGGAAAATGGATGACTTAAATTCTCCTATGAGTTTTAGTTTATAACTAATATAAAATTAAGCCATACAAAAATGAATTTCTCGAAATTTCATAAAATTTTTAAAAAAGTTGGAGGTGACATATAAAAAATGTTTTTACCAAGATTTTATAAAAAGAAGAAAAAATTCCAAAATAATTTCATTTATTTGTGAAGAAGTCTTGGAAGTTTAATTAAAATCCGGCAAATATTTGACTTTTGCAAGAATTTCCAAATCAATATATTTTTCACCACAAAAAGACACTAAGATTTCCTATACTAATTTATACTCACCCGCTGATGCAAAAATAATATATTTTCTTACCAAAATCCCAAAAGTTCTAAAAAAAATTAAAAAAAACGTTTTTGGTTATAAGGTGAATTTGTTCTAGTGTATATATTATATATTATATTCACTAAAATAAATCAATTTTTGCAAAAATCTGAAGAATAAAATATAAAACAAATCCACATTATAACCAAAAATGTTTGGAGTTTCTCTCTTTTTTTTTAGATATCCATTTTTTTCTTATTGGGGCAATTATAACCTTTTCCATATATATATATATATATATATATATATATATATATATATTATAAAAAACACATGATCTGTCTGTATAATTTCTTTATTAGATTTTTCCAATTTTCGGATCAGGTGCTGAATATTTTGTTGGAAGTTTTGGTGAAACTGTCGAAAGTTAATATTTTGTTACTTTTGTTCAAGCAATTTCGACTTTTCGCAGTTATTATCAGGAACCAATGTGGTGTCTGTGTTGTAGTTAGAAATTCTTTGTCTTCATCCTGGTGTTCTTTGGAAAGCTGGAAGTTTGAAATGGTCCAGCGTGGCGTCATGTGCAACGGCTATTAGAAGCAAGGACACACTAAAAGAATTCAAATTATTTATTTAGTCTATTGTACTTATTTTATTGATTTATTTTTAAATACTAACTGTTGTTAACCTAGGGAAGGTTACTGAATAGAATAATCACACGAAGGTTGGTAATGAACGATAATATTTAGGATAAGAACAACACATATAAGATTCGCCAGCGGCGCGTAGATGAAGTAATCAACTGCTAGAAGTGAGTCAAGAGAATTCAACACTGAATCTCCTACTGAAGGATATCTACCAACCGCCCCGCCTGATTTTAATGTTGGGTATCCGAGCCCGTTGGCACGGCCAAATATTCCCCGTAGACCCCGTATAAAACGTGGTTGGGTAGTTCTTTCCCGAGACGAGACTCTGCCCTTCGACATAGCCTCGTCTGGGGATCCTCTCTGCCCGGTGGTAGAGTGTTTGAACAGCACAGCTGGAGACGAATGTCCAACTGCAGACCAACATACAGTATTTACTACTGTATTTATGTGAATGGAGACATATCCATTATCGTCCATGCTACAACACTAACATAACATATGCGTGTATTAATTATATCAGATGCACTTCAAAATACTGTCTCCTGTGGGGAATGATATTTTATTTAATGTGGGCTGTATATTATGTATAGTAATACCTTCTAGAGTTTTGTGTCTTTCTTTGCTTTGACTGCATTAGTGTATTTTAGTGTTATCTGTTGCAGTTTTTTGGGTACTTTCAAAATGAGCTGACTCCTTTTATAGTTCACCAATAGTAGATGATACTTTTTAGGTGTTTGTTAGGATCATTGAGTGATGTGTATTAGAGAATTATGTTTTTAATTGTTTTTTTACATCCTTATACGAATATTAGAAATATATATATATATATATATATATATATATATATATATATAAATATCGGTCTTACTCAAAATTACACTCACACATACACACACACACACACATATATATATATATATATATATATATATATATATATATATATGGAGAGAGAGAGAGAGAGAGAGAGAGTGAGTGAGAGAGAGATAGAATTGTGCTCGTCCCAAAAATATTATATATATATGTGTGTTTGTGTGTGTGTGTGTTTTTGTGTGTGTATGCATTGCGTATATTTTGGCAGCCTGTTTTATTAAGACATGACTTATTAAATAATCTAGATAAGTTTTATCTACATATTCTTAATAGGATCATCGCATATCTACGGACCAGTTTCTTAGTATCCTTATTAAAGGAAGAAAGAAAATTGCCATGTTGCTGTATATCCATTTTATTCCCGAGTACTTTAATTTCGACATTAGCCTCATGTCATCTTCAGGGTCTTGTTTTTGCTGAGACAAAATTGCCGTGTTCATCTGAAAATTAATTTTCTTACTTGTGATGTGAAAAACGCTAAACTTATGTACCGTACAATTTTTAAATTTTATTCTATAAACATATACATCTAGTAACGTGAAGGGAGCTAACTAAGTTACTGTGATGTCTAATTATTTTTCTTTTAACTATTTAAAACTACTAATTATAACCTAGATATTTTAAACTACCTATGGTAAACATTTCAAAACATTTGTGTAGTATTCATAATTTTATTAAGGGTTGGTTTCATTTTTGATATAGATAGTTTCAAGAATTTTTAGTTTATGTTTATTATTTTCATGAAAAATTATAGATATATTTTCGACAAGAATTTTTCTAAACTGCGAATGATTGTGGGCAGGCATGCTACTGTAAAGGATGAGAGATGTTAGATGCATCATTCAAATGAAAACTCAACCTTCTAGACAACTTAATTGTGGTGTGACGAAAACTTATATTAATTTTCTGTTGGAGATACAATCTCCCAAGTGCCATTTAAATTTATATATAATGTTGGTTTTCTGCGACACGTTAATTAGTGCGAATGATGTCGAAATTAATTATATTTAATTATATATATATATATTGATCTTGAGCTATATCGAGTCTAATTCGTTACCTCTTCGTCACCGAGGCCTGTTTGTATATTTTTATGGTGTTTACCTCATATCGTAACTGTTCGGGTTTCAGTTCTTGGTAGTGGATGCGCACTGCTGATGAGGCCCAAATATAGGACGAAACGGCCGTCCAGTGCTTTCGGAGGTTTCTAGACTCAATAAATTACTTAATTATGATCATCTCAAATCCTCCTTAGTTGTATATATATATATATATATAAACAGACAATGGATGTCTGTTATGTTTGAGCATGCGCCGTTCTAAACTTACTATGGATGAAAATAAAGACAAAAATTTCACCCAAAACTAAAGCAACCAACGGCTCCTTTCTAACAATATATGTTTAAATTATGATCTGCTGCCCAATACATTATATATAGAGAGATAGAAAAAAAGATATTGCGCTCGAACATTTACAACTCACGTCTAAGATGTTTTTGTTTTTTTTTATCGAGAGCATTTGAACATTATTTGATTTATGAGGATACGCCCGACACATAACGGTTGACCCTAGGCTTGAAGACGTTCAAATCGATCGGATAATCAGGGAAGCATCTTCTCGGGAGCCTGTCCACAAATTAACGGTTCTCTGGTAGAAACTGAGTGATACTTTCTCCTTACCAATGGAATATGAAGCGAATGTGGATGAGTCGATCCTGCGTATCTGACATGGCGGGAGGTTTGAACTGGTGAAACGAAAGAAATATTTACCACTAGCAGTATAACCCAACTTCGACCGGGTGTTTCATTACAGGGAATTTTTGCCGTTCAATTGGAGCAGTTAAAGTCAACCCACCCGTAACTCAATATTAGTAACAACATTTGGGTGCAACTGAGGCACATCACCAAATGGGGGCATGAGGGGTGGGTAACAATTTGAATGGAGCCATTTTTTGCGTTCACAATTTTGCAAGGACCGTCATCATAATAATATACGATAAATTTTATTTATAATATAACTTTTTTTTTTTATAATTCTAATAATCTTTTACGTTAGATTTCAACTCTCTAAATTGATTGCACGGTGTTTTTACAGACATTAAATTTTGCCTTTGATTTTTTGCGCAAATTGTAAAAAATCTTTTTTTTTCGATTTTCACCTTCAAGGTTATAATTTTTTTCCAGAAAATTTGGA